CAAATCACTCTATAAAAAAGATACCTGCACACGCATGTTTATCACAGCATTGTTCACAATAGCAAGAATCTGGAAACAGCCATGCTGCCCATCAAAAGAGGACTGGATTAAAAAAATGTTGTACATATACACGATGGAATACTACGCAGCCATAAAAAAGAACAAAATCATGAGTTTCGCAGCAACCTGGATGGAACTAGAGTCTATAATACTGAGTGATCTCTCACAGAAACAAAGATCCGAGTATCACATGTTCTCACTCATATAATGGACCTTAAACATCCAATGCAATAATATACAAAAATGACTGACAGTACTGGGAAACTATGATGGGGGGAGGGAGATGGGATTAACAGTAGCAAATATCTGTCTGGGAACGGGGAAACACCCCATATCAACAGGGTACCTGAATGAAACGCAATTGTATACCTAACCCTTAACTGTACCCCACAGCTTCATAATAAAAAATAAATAAATAATTTAAAAAAATAAAATAAATAATGCTTTTACCAGCTGAGTGTCCCTTAATCTAGACAAAATCTGTCATCACAGTGACCTAATATGTGGTCTATCTTGGTGCACATTTCATGTGTATTTGAAAAAAACAAATGTATTCTTCAGTTGTTGGGTGGAAAGTTTTGTACATGTGTGTTTGGACTATTTGGCCTATAGTGTTGTTGAGTTCTGCTGTTTCATTATTGATATTATGTCTGGGTTATCTATGTATTATCAAAAGTGGGGGATTGAAGTCCCCTACTATTATTGTATTGTTGTGTATTTCTTCCTTCAGATCTGTTTGAGTTACATGTATAGGTGCTTTATTGTTAGGTGTATATATATAAATATATTTTAATTTTTATATCTTCCTGTTAAAGAACAGATTATAAATTAATCCTTTTATTAATCCTTTTATTATTATATAATAACCTTTTTGTCTCTTGTGACAGTTTCTGACAGATCTATTTTGTCTGATATAACTATAATTGTATCTGCTCCCTTTTTGTTATAAGTTGCATGAAATATCTTTTTCAATTCCTTTACTTTCAGGCTATGTGTTTCCTTAATTCTAAAGTAAGTCTTTTATAGGCGTCATATAGCTATCTGTATGATATCTTTTGAATTTAAGATTTTTTTATGATTGTTTTAGTCAGGGTTCTTCAGATAAACAAAACTGATAGGCTATATAGATAGATATATGAAACAGCATTCTTTAGGGAAATTGGCTCACTTGATTATGAAGGTTCAGAAGTCTCATGATAGACCATCTGCAAGATGAAGAACCAGAAAAGCTGGTAGCATGGTTCAGTCCAAGTCCAAGGGCTATAACTATGTATTTTGATTGATTAGTTTAATCCATTTACATTTAGAGTAATTATGATAGGTAAGTACTTACTACTGCCAGTTTTTTAGTTGTTTTATAACCTGTTTTGTAGTTCTTTTGTTTCTTTCCTCCTTTCTTCTTGTCTTCAAGTGTGATTTGATGTGTTTTCTTTTTGTAGTGATATACTTGATTCGGCTATCTTTACCTTTTTTGTATTTATTATAGGTTTCTTTCTTTGTGGTTACCATGAGGTTCACATAAAACTTTTTATAATTATAACCATCTACTTAAAGGTGATAATAACTTCAAATGCATACAAAAATTCTAATTTTTGCTCCTTCCTAATATTTTATGTTATTGATGTTGGAATTTACTTATTTCTATTTTGCATATCTGTACGCAATTTTTTTGTGATTATTGGCATTCTTACTACTTTTGGCTTTTAGCTCTTATACTAAGGTTACATTATTCTGTATTTGTCTACATATTTGCTTCTACCAGTTATATTTATACTTTCAAATAGTATCTTTTCATTTCACTTAAATAACTTCTTTTAGCATTTCTTTTAAGGTGGCTCTAGATGAGACTAACGTTTCCAGTTTTTGTTTGTCTGGGAAAGTCTTTATCTCTGCTTCATTTTTATTTATTTATTTATTTATTATTTTTTTTTGAGATGGAGTCTCACTCAGTCACCCAGACTGGAGTACAGTGGCCGCTCCCGGCCACCACAGCCTCGGCCACCGCAGCCTCGACCTACTGGGCTCCAGCGATCCTTCCACCTGAGCCTTCCAAGTAACTGGAACTACAGGCGTGTGCTACCACGCCAGGCTAAATCTGCTTCATTTTTAAAAGACAGTTTTGCCAGGTATTCTTTGTAGGCATTTTTTTCTTTCAACACTTTGAATATATCATCCTACTCTCTTTTGGCCTTCATGGTTATGCTAAGAAATCTATGAGTAATGAGAAATGTGGACGCTTCTGTTGGGAGACAAATTTTCGTGCCTCTCTGGAGTTTACATACATCTTGCAGTCAGGGGCACCGACTGCCATTGTTTGGATTATCTTTTCAAAGATTTTTTTTTCAAAGTAAATAGGCTTGAAAAATTGAAAGAATGTCTCTTGTATGTTGAAAAGTCTCAATCTTATTGCCATTGTATTATATTTCTATTTTTGTGTAACAAATTACCACAAATTTAGAAGCTAAAAACAGCACTTATTTAGTAGTTTATATTTCTTTTGTTTGTTTTAAATTTATCAGGAAAAAAGCTTTATTTTGACTCACGTTTCTACATGGTACTGGTATCTTCTGGGCTTCTGGTGGGGTCTCAGGAATCTTACCATCCTGATGGAAGGTGGAGAGAGAGCAGGAGTGTCATACAGCGAGAGCAGGAGAAAGAGAGCAAGAAAGAGGTGCCAGCCGCTTTTTTTAAAAAATATGTTTATTTTATGAAAAGAGTAAGTACATAGAGTTTTAAACATCAATTGTTTTTCTTCTTTTTCCTCCAGGACCACGGGGAGAAATTTACTGTGAAAGCTCGTAAGGTGAGAACAGGATGGAGCAGGTTCTAGGAGGCCTAGTCAGAGGCCTCCGACCTGTCCTTGACATCTGTGCTCTCGCTGACATTGCTGAGGTCCTTGGTGTCCCCACCACTGCCCTCAGCTGCCAGGCCCTTCTCTTCATGATAGACTGCTCCCAAATCCAGAAGCGAATTGCCTTTGCTCTCCACCTTGTTGTCAGTGGCACCCAGCGCCACATGCCTGCCCTTTTCCTTCAGCTTCAGGTGCAGCCTCAGCTCCTCTGCCATCTGGGTGAGATCACGCTTCATGGCATATGCGTCCTCCCCGTCTGCATAGTATTTGTGCTCCACTTCAATAATCTGAAAGTTGAGATTGTTGGAATAGAGGTTCAGGGCGGCCCGGTTACTCTTCCTGACATGCAGGAAGACATATTTGGCATTGAAGTTCTCTATCATGGCTCGAGAGGACTGATCAATCAGCTTCTGGGCCACGCCAAGGCGCCGGTGGGAACGCTTCACAGCCAGTGAAGTGACATGACCATAGGCCATGCCATCTGGGTCTTCTACCATTTTGGCCAGAATGTACCCCACAATCTTCCCTTTCTCATCTTCAGCAATGTAAGACAGCTGGGGCCAGGTGACGCCATAGTAGAAGTAGTATTTCATCTGGTAGTTCTCGGGCAGGCAGAGGAGGTTGCAGTACTGCATGTTCATCAGGTCCCCCGGCCTTGCATTGCGGATGTTCATAACAGCGGCGGGGATCGCAGGATCCCAGTGGATCGTGAACGTGCTGTCAGCTGTCTCCGCGCTCCGAAGTGATGCCGAGGTGGCAGGGCTAAGGCTGGGGCTGGGGCTGGGGCTGGAGCTGAAGCCAGGCTCACAAGTCCAAAATCTTTTTCTTTAGGCCACTGTTCAACTGTGATTTTCAAGTTCCTTCTGTTATCATCCTTAGAATTCCCTTTGCTGTTCCCATGGTTGCATTAGGTCACTGTTCTTTACGTCAGAAGTTCAGTATGGCATAATTGGCTGTCTGCTCAATATATCACAATGCTGAAATCAAGGCATTAGCTGAACTGGGTTGTGAAAACCCTGGGGAAAATTTTTCTTCCAAGATCATTCAAGCTGTTTGCAAAATTCAGTTTATTGCAGTGATAGTAGTGACTCACCTTTTTCTTCACAGGCTATTGGCTAGGTGCTAACCTCAGATCCTAGAAACCACTCACATTCTTGGGCATGTGGCCACCTTTAATCAGCAATGAAGAATTTATATGTTGTCAAATTTATCTCACCATTCAAATCTCTGTGACATCTCTGTCTCTGACTACTACATACAGATTTATAGAACTTCTGTGATTTTGTTAGGCACCCCTTGATAATCTCCCCTTCCTTTTTTTTTTTTTTTTTTTTTTTTTTTTGAGTTGGAGTTTCACTCCCTCGCCCAGACTGGAGTGCAGTGGCCACTCCTGGCCACCGCCACCTCGACCCACTGGGCTCCGGCAATCCTTCCGCCTCAGCCTTCCGAGTAGCCGGAATTACAGGTGCACACTACCACGCCCGGCTGAATTTTGATTTATTGTAGAGATGAGGTATCGCCAAGTTGCCCAGGCGGGTCTCGAACCCACAGGCTCAAGCAATCCACTCACCTCAGCCTCCCAAAGGTGTGGGATTACAGGCTGAGCCACTGAGCCCGGTTTATAATCTCCCTTTCTTAAAGTCAGTTTTTCATACAATATAACATAGTCATGGAAGTACAATTGATTATTTTCATAATTCTGGGGATTTTACAAAGCAAGTACACCAAACGCACAGAATCCTGGTGGACAAGATTCTCCTAGAATTTTAAGAATATTTATTTTTCAGGAAATTTTTAATTTAAAAAATCTATTTTCTAACAGTTATAGGAGTTCTGATTACTTATTTGTTATGGTGAATTTTGATAATTTGTGGGGCTTTTTGGTGACTGACCCATTTTATCTAAGTTGTAAATTTATGTATGTAGAATTTTTCATATTCTCTTATTATCTTTGATGCCTGCTAGGTCGGAAGTGATATCTTCTGTTTTATTTTATTTATTTATTTTATTGAAGTTGTGAGTTCTTCTGGTTTATGCATTCTCCCAAACATTTTGTTGATGTCAACATTAAATAATAAGATAGGTATTACCATAGCTACTAAATTTCCTAGTCTTACATTATGACTACCCTTTGGAATAAAACACCATCCTTTGAGATACCTGATTTGGAAAGAAAAAAGTTCATTTCCCCAATGTCCTGTGTAAGGATGTAGGATTCATAGTAATCTAGGCACCTTGCTCTTAATATTGCCTCCGAGATAGGGTCTTCCAGAGGTGATTTGTAGTAATGGAAGAGGAAGTCAGTATTATGTTATGAATAGCAATGATTTTATACTGGCACAACTTCATAGTTATATGGTATTGGACTCATGAAGTTTTTCATTTCATAGAAGGAAGGTAAAGATGTCTATATAATGCAGATATTTTGGAAAATAAATGAAGGGATTCTGAAAGGATGGATGTGAGGGCAGCATTGTTTTATTTTATGATATCATCTGTTTTAATTCTGATGTTAAAAATATGTGTTCTTTGTCTTTTTCTCAGTCTTACTAGAGGCTTGTCAATTTTATTTAACTCTGTGAAGATCAGATTTTTATTTCACTGATATTATTTATACATTTTGTTTTTTCTGTTTTCACCTTCATCAGTATCTGCTTTTGTCCTTATTAATTCCTTATTTCAGTTTGGTTTGATTTTAGTACGCTCTTGTTTTTCTAGGTTCTTGAAGTGGAAGCATAGATTATTAATTTGACACTTTTTAAACTTCTAATGTATATATGGGGGATCCCCCAACCCAGAATTTATTTATGAAAACTGTATATTTATTCTTACATGTTTAAGCTTCAATCGCCTTCAAAGTACTCTGTTTGATGCAATACACCTCTGGAGACACTTTTTTCACTGTTCAAAACAGTTTTGAACTCATCCATTTTGATGCCTTTTAGTGTTTCTGCCATTTTTTGTTTCACCTCTTCTGGGTCGCCAAAACATTTCCCTTTGAGGTTTTTTTCATCCAGGAAAACAAAAAACATCGCTTGGGGTGAGATCAGGTGAATGGGAGGGCATGAGGGTCATGCCATTTTTGGTCAAAAACTGCTGAACACTCATCACGGTGTGGGCAGGTGTGCTCGTAAATCACCCACCACACAAACGCTTGAAAGAATCTAAAAGAAGTCACTGAAGCTGAACGCAGCCTCTCACAATAATGCTTGCTGGTACACGGATGCATCCATGGATTTCTACCTAGTGGGGGAAGCCTGTATTACCAAGGGCCTTCCCTCCAAAAGATAATTTCAGTTTTTTGGGGACCCTGCATACTTCTACAAATTTTGATATGCTATAATTTCTTTTGCATTTAGTTCAAAGTCAATTCTCCTTGAGACTTCCTCTCTGCCCCATGGATTATGTCAAAATTGTTTTGTGTTTAATTCCTAGTGTTTGGAGATTTTCCTGTTATCCTCTATTTTAATATTTAGTTGGATTCTGTTTTGGTCAAAAAAGACACTTTGTATGACTCCAGTTTATCATTTAAACTTGTTGAGGTTTATTTTATGGCTCAGTATATGGTCTATTTTGATAAATGTTATTAAGATTTTTTTCTTTCCTTTTTTATTTTAAAGATGTGGCTTACAATTCAGGGTTATGTATACACATGTTCATTATGCAGGTACCCTTGTTGTTGAGGTGTGCCCCCCGCTTCCCCAGGCAGATCCCCGCTACTGCCAATCCTGCTTCTCCTCCACCCCATTCCCTGGCAGTTTTCCGCTACTGACAATCCCTTTCTTATAGTATTAGGATAATTGTTCAAGATCCGTTTATGAGTGAGAACATGTGATACTCAGTTCTTTGTTTCTGTGGAAGATTATTCAGTATTACAGACTCTAATTTCATCCAGGTTGTGAAGGTATTTTTTTAATGTACATTCTGCTATTGTTGAGCAGAGTATTCTATAAATGCAAATTAGATTTGGTTGGTTGATAAGTTTATTGAATTATTCTATGTCCTTGACAATTTTTTTGCCATCACTCACTTGTAGGTCAACTTTGACATCGTGTCAGTCAGTGAGGAGAGGGAAGAGTACCTCATGACCATTAGGTCAGACCGTGAGTTCTTTACAAGGCCTCTACTGATGCTGTCAATTTGCCTTCTTTTCTCCATCTTTCAATCTTCTTATATTTATGTTATATTTGATTTCCAAGGGCTTTAGTTGTGCTTATAGGAAGGAGTGGAAGAAAGTAAGCCTAGTCTACCTCCCCAGAAATAGACGTCTATTTTACTGAATACTTATTTAACTTATTTATCTCAGTGTAAAGAAACTATTATTTTGATCTGCTTACAATTGATGGTAGTCCAATTGGGTTTTAAAGTTTGTTCAGAGTCAATAATCTGGATACTTTATGAATGACAAACAACTCTAGCCAAATTTACTGTACAGAAACATAACATGAAGCATCGTGAATAATGAGTAGAGGAAAGACAACTATTCAGCAGAGGTGGACACAAAAGAAAAAGTCTTTATTGGAATGAGATTTTATGCAGATCTGGAGAATATCACCTAGTTTCCAACCTCCATGATGCCATAAGAAGTAACAATTTTAGCCCTTATGTCTGAAAAGTTGGGTTGGTTATAGGAAATAAAGTAAGGTGGTGTATTAAAGTCAGTTAGGGGGTGCCAGGGCCTTCTTAGTTAAATTAGAGTGGTTTGAGGATTAAAAGAACAGCTATTTGATAAATTCCAATACATGATCAATTATTTTTATGCCAAGTCTCAGATGAAAAAAAAAAAAACCTGCTGAGAAAAAGATGGCATCTGTTATTGCAACAGAAGTGATAAGAAAGTTGTGGATATATATACAGGATAATATATACTAGGGTAAACTAAGGAGCAATTAATAACAGAAGAGGTATGACTAGGAATTACTTAATTTCTGCAAGCTTTAAAATAAGCATTTTTGTATATATTGAAGACAATAATTAAGTTTGTTTAGTTCTAGATACCAACACAGAATGTTAGGTTTTCTTAACCAAATCATGAGCACAAATTGGCTTGGTCCTTACTCTCATGAAGTTTGGCACCCAATGGGAGAAATTCATATTTATCAAAGAATTCTACACATGAATGTAAGATAAATTGACCTAGTTTTTGAAGAAGTCAAGAATTAAATTAATGTTAAAGGACTAAATGACATGAAACGTGTCAATAATAGGGGAGAAACTATTCCAGGTGGAGGGAACAATATATAAAAATGCCCTTCAGCTGGAATTAGTGAGTGACTTTAGAAAAAAATGGAAGACAGAAGGGCTTGAGAAAAAAGAGTGAAGGAAAATATATGAAGTTAGGCTGAACAGATGGAGAAGATCAAACTATTCCTTTTCTGTCCACCTTTGATAAGATTTGGGCCTTTATGGTACCCCATATATTTTTTTAAAAATGCTAAATGGATTTAGACAGTTGAATAATATGACTCAACATAAACGTTAAACATTTTCACTCTGGAAACACTACTGGAAAAGAGGAAGAATCAATGGAAAAAGCAGAGGTAATCCAGATAAGTTTAATAATAAACATTCAACATTTTAATAAATTGTTTAATTTCAAGCAAAAAACATAATGGAATTATTTCCTAGTCAATGCTTCTTGTTAAAAAACATTTAGAAAAATTTTAGATTATGAATTGAGGTATAATTTCTACTTAACTTTCTGAAATACAGACACTGTGTCTGGAGGCAAATAAATTATTTCTGAAGTGCAAACCTCATATATCCAGACATACTCAGTGGTGA